GCGAAGCGGCTGAAGCTTTGACGTTTCATTTAATTATTAGAAAAAGAAGACGATTCGTTGTACCATTCTTGACTCTTAATCCTTGCCTGAATTTAGTTGCGGCCCCCCTCTCGAGCGAAGCGCGGAAGCTTTGACATTTCATTCAATTATTAGAGAAAGAAGACTATTCGTTGTACCGTTTTAGACTTGTCAGAATTTTCAAAAATGTTTCCTTGTCTGCTCCGTTTTCGTCCTACATGATGTCCTCTTACTGCCCCTACCACCCTTGGCTACGCGCCTGCTTTAAAGGGAAAATGAAACAATCATGATTGTGATAGCACACAATTAGGTTAGTAGAAATGAAAGGGAAAAAAGAAAGATCTATTACACCAACCATGGATAAATCACGGCCGGGAGCGTCATATCATAGTTTTGTGTTATCGGGCGAGGGCCGGGGAGTAGCGGCCAATCGAGATTTTTTGCAATGTTGAATGCTGAAATTATGCATTCTAGAAAATACCTATGCCCAATATGTACCTCATTTCCGCTATATTTCTTTCTAGCTATATTTCTAAATATCCTGGGGGACGTGTCCCCCTATATCGGGCCCAGGATTTCCGCCCCTGTCCATCATTACTACGAACAGTTCAAATACAAGAACAAGCGAGTCGGTATGAGCTGAATTAAACGAAGGGCAAAATAAGAGTTGTGAAGCGGCCCTTCCGTTAATTAAAAATTATATGAGTATATAGCTTCTATTTAAAAGACATCCAAAATATGGTGCCCTTTTCAAATTTCTCACTGAAGAGTGATGACCTTTGTAGCGCAGGGCTCTTTTTAACGTTTAAATTTGAATCCGCGGCTCGACATTTTATGCGGCCGGCCCGGCCGGCCTACGTGTATAAGAAACAACATCTTACGTAATGAGCAAATAATAGATGTACTTTGTTGTAAATGTGTTTTTCAGCCCATTTTTGTTATTTTTATACTGCAATGGTCACAACAATGATAGTAATGATGATAACACATAAAGATGATGATGATTATGATGATAATAATACTACTACAGTCAAACCTGCTTTAGTAACCACCTGTCTACAACAAGCTCATTTTTTGTTTCCCTTGAAAATGGTTTCTCATTGAAACATGTACTAAAGGAACCTGTCTACAAAGACCACTTTTTGTGTTTCCCTTGGGCGGTCGCTGTAGACAGGTTTGGCTGT